CCACGGTTGGTGGTTTCTCGTGCATCTTTCTGGTGATGGTTTTTGCAGACCCAAGCACATGCGCACGTCCCTCTCGACTTTATCATGAAAATAGTCGCTCGCCCGCTCTGATGGTCTCTGGCTCTTGCAGTTAGATGTGGGTGAGAGATGGCTCCCCGTAAGCAGAGATCCGCGCTGTGTTGATAGCTGCCGGGCTCTGCTCCGATGACGCCGATATTTTGTGTAATCATCTCACCGCCTCTTCTAGACTTGTGCTGTCGTGAACAGTGTTGCAATGAGGATCCTGTGGGCGTGTCTTTCTCTGTGGCCGGTGTATGCTCATGGTTAGAAACTGGTGTGTGTGTTCTCAGTAAGTCAGTAAATGCTTCCCTGGCGTGGCTGCCCTCTCATCCTTCCTTCACCAGCCGCCCTTCACGCATCTGTCCACTTGTGCGTCTGTTACCCGCCGAGACCTTCACTGAGAAATCGGTGTGCCCCGGGCTGTCTTGGGTCCTTGAGCCCCTGATGGCCTTTCAGGACAGACCGACACATCACGCATGAACCCCCCACCGTGTGAGAGTCTGTGTGCGTGGCCAGGCTGCCAGAGGACAGAACAGAGGCCTCCTTGCAGCCCCTATTTGTCAGGCATCTGCTCCCAGCAGAGGCTTTGACCTCAGCTGGCCTTTAGACCGCAGGCGGATCTGAGCCCTCTAATCGCGTGTTGGCTCGGCACATGAACACATGCACACACAGGTGGGCACAGAAACTGCAAGCAAGTGGCAGCCCGCAGAGGCCAGGAAAGCCCGGGCCCGGTGTCCTCTGGGCGACTGGCCGCTCTGGGGACAGAGCCGTGCCATTTCCCACTTCCCCCTTATTAAAAATGAGCTGAGAAGACAGGGAGGGGTGTCGGCGGAACGGGAAATTGGTATCATTTTTGACCACGTCGTGAGAGCTAATTGCTGAAGGGAAGGCCGTTTCAAATGAGCTTGCGTGAGAAAGTGGCTGGAAATGTCAATTGCGGTATCATTTCGGGATTGGGACAGATTTGCTCCCTGTAATGTCCCTTTCCTTCTGAGCTGTGATTTGGAGAGGCCTGTAATTACAAGAGAGAGCATACAGGTTTCTTCCTTCGGCTCCTCCTATCTCCAGACTAACTCATCGTTATCACGCATGAAGGTTTCGAATTGGCCACAGAGCAGTTTAAAAATGGATTGACATTTCAGCGTGGAGTTAAATACAGCTTGCATGACCGTTCATTCATTTACCAGCCACAGATTAACTCGGCGCCTGCAACGTGCCAGGGGCCTGGCTGGGCTGTGTGCATCCCTGTGAACTAGGGATGTGGGGCTGTGTCCTCAAGCCCCTTGGTGGGGGGCAGGACACAGAGCCAGAACGGGGGCAGGGCCAGCCGCGCCCCAGGTAGGCGGGAAGGCAGCGGTGGAGAGTCTGTTCCGGTGGTCAGGAAAGATGTCTCCTGGGGTTTATGTTTTAGTTTTGAAGGACGAGAAGAGGGCCAGCCCCACAGAGAGCCTGGGGTCCCCGATGTGCGACCCTTTGCTTCGCGGCTGTCCGAGGGGAAGACGTGCAGGTAGAGGGCGAGGAGCAGGGCCTTCATCTCGTCTGGGCCACCTGATTCTTACTGGCCGGGCGGCGTCAGGACTGGAAACAGAAACCAGGGTCTGCTCAGCTTCGACACTTCCCGGGAGCCTGTTTTCTCTGTCTCATCACGGACGCGGCCCGGCCCAGGGGGGCTGGGTTTTCTCCATCTCTGGGTCCACACGGCCTACAGACCGCCTCAGCAGCCACCAGAAACGCAGACACCTGGGTTCTAGTCTCAAGCTTCCACGAGACGAGAGCTGCTCATCTTGTGACGACTTCTCCACCAACACGTGATTCTGACCCCGGTGGAGTGTCAGAGTTCAGCTCTCTTCTGCCACCATCTCCATGGCCGACAGTCACACCCGGCTGTCGCTTGCGCTTCTGATCAGCCGGCCACACACAGGTGGTTCCTTCGACCCCTTCCTCGGCGTAGGTGCCGGTCACAAGCCCAGCTAGTTAGCTGTGCTCTTATCATCTGATCCAGACCCCCTCTTCAGGTCGGCTGAGGCGCACAGAACTCGGGCAGCCCGTTGGCTGATGACATCGCCAGCGTATTACAAAGGAAGCAGCCAGGCGCAGGAGGCCCAGGGAGAGGCGGGGGGAGGGGCGCAGAGCCTCCCGGCCTCTCCGGATGCGCTGTTCTCCTCAGGCCCCATGTCCATCCACCTGGAAGGCTCTGCAGGCCCTCCCCTTGGCCTCTCTGAAGGCTTCCTGACCTCAGTGCGCTTGACCAACCCACCAGTCATGTTGCTTGGGTCTGGCCTCCCGTCCCTCTTCCCTCCGAGGTGCGAGCGTGGGGCCAGAAGCCCCAGCCCTCCACACACGGTGGGCCTCCTGGCAAGGCACCCTGCCTTTGGGTGCGTCTCCAGAAGCCACCTCATTGACATAGCAGCAGGCACCTTTATTGCTCCCAACACGAAGGAAATTCCAGAGGTGTCGGCCGCGTGGGCCAGGGAGTATGTGACCAAGTATGTATGGCCCAATCCAGATTTCTGAATGGCCCAGTACATATTTCTTACAAATTAGAGTATCGGGCTGGGCAGGCGGACAGAAGAGACTGACTTTTGAGTAATTTGGCGAGCTGGGCCATCGGTTCACATCCTGTTAATTGCACGAGACCTGGGCTTGCTTTTCGAGCTGTATCCCTCACAAGTCAGAAAGCTCACAGACTGGTTTTGGGCCCAGCCTCCCTGCTTACACTGACACGTGAGTGTCCTTCGACTTGCTGAAGCCAATCACGCCACGAGACTGGAAGGAAAGCTGCAAGTCCGAGGGTCTAGCAGCTCCCACTCACTTAGAACCACAGTCCAGCGTGTTCCCTAGAAGCCAGCAGCGCCGAGAACAAACTGTCCAGAGCACCTCTTCCTGTAGGAAGCCGTCGTTTGGGAGGAAACTCTTTGTTCCTCCTGCTGAGGAGTCATGTCCGTCCTGCTGATCCAGATGGGACTGGGCCACCCGTCCTCCAGGGCTGTGGTCAGGCATGGCTTCCTCTTACTTGGGGCCATCTCGGACGTCACTTCATGACAGCAAATGTTAGCGCCTTCTCCAAGGACACGGTTACACTTTTTAAAAGCAATTCACTCAAAAGATACATTTACCAAAAAATCTCACACAAAGACAGCAAATGGAAATTAAGCCTTTCTCTCCCCAGTCCCGCTCCTAATCTATTGTCTGGTGCTGTCTGGTGTGTATTTTCCCAGAATCCTTTTCATATTTCTACCCTCAGGTGTGAGTGGGAGTGTGTGTGCACACGCCCTGACTTCTGCCTCTGTCTCTAGCCGGGCCCAGACATGAGTTGCATTTTTGAAAACCTCGTTTAAGCACTGGAAAGAGGAATGCCTTTGATGTAAATTTTGGCTGTCATCTTTGGTGGTTTCCTCTAGATAAAATCTGGGACTAAAGTTTCTGGTCACACATGCAAAAAATGTAGCTTCGTGCTTTGGATCTTCCAAAGGCAGCCTCTCCGCTTTTCTTCAAGGTGACGCCGTCCCTCCTCCCAGCTCCCCACAGGAAGCAGACCGGCTACGTTACAGCAGGGCGACACGGGCCCCCGCCCAGCACGCTTCTGAAAGGGCAGTTCTTCAAGCCGCACCGCGGGTTCTCCTCGATAGTGTGCAGCAGCCTGGAGCCTCGTCAGCTGCTCAGGGCTGGAGAGCGGGAAGGGGCTCGCCTGGCTCGCCTTCCTGGCCGCCATCTGTGGGGACAAACAGGACAAGTTCATGTCCAGAGCCAAGGCTGACAGGACAGCACACGCTGTCTTCTCAGTAACTGCGTTGGGGTAACCGGTTGTCAAGGCCTACCCACGGGGTGCTGGTCTACCTGCCTTATGGGCGAAACTCACTTGGCTCCCAGGACCGGCCCGCGAGTGTGACTTCCATTCAGCCGTCTCACAGATGGGGACATGCTGGCCCAACATGCTGGCCCAGAGAGGTCGAGGGCTGGCCCACGGCCATTCAGCCAGGAAGGGCTTGAGCTGGAACGTGACCCCCAGCTGTGTGGCCCCAGAGTGAAGGCCCCATAACCACCACGTTGTCTGCAAAGGGGACCCCCAGTTTCTCTAAGGCTCCGTCCAGTGTCGTCTCACCTTCCCTCCACTTGCTGGGGTTTACAACAGAGAAGTGTTTGAAGCTGGACAGAACTGAATCTGTATCCACTTCCTTCCTGTGCCACCCTGGCCCCCATGTGTGGAGTGGGGCAGTAACACCATCCCGGGTGGTTGGCGAGATGGGGGCCGATTGTGGCTAATGCGGAAGCTCGGGCAGAAGAAGGTGCGAGCTGCGTCTCTCACTCTTGCGCCTCTCTGTTCCACCGGGACCTTTAACTCTGAGGTACGGTCTGGGTTCTGGTCAGTACAGACTGGGTCCCACCACAGAGGGAAGCTCATCCCGGCGTGAGAAGACTGCTGCCCTTGGTGGGCGTCGGCTGCCCGGCACCTTGCTGTGTGCCTCACGTGCCAGGCAGGTGCAGGTGGCCCACTGGGTCCCCGCATCCCGGCTCTTCTCCCTTGCCTTGCTCGGAGATGTGGGGGGCGGGCGTTGGTCCCGCGCCGTTATATGGCGCGGGTGATGTGCCTCACGGCGACGGTGGCCATCTTTCCCTCTGTGTATCTGCGGACTTGCCTCTCCGATCCTAACGAGGCCTTTGTGGCTCTGAAATGACATGCTTTTACATGCCCGCGATGATCTCAGTAGGATTAGGGGCTTTTTGCCGTGAAGATGATTGAGATCTCTCACAGTGTGCATTTTTATTACTCCGACAGTCTCTAGCCACCCTGCCACAAAATCACTGTTTTCCAGTAACTGCTTTTCCACCTCATCGCGAACAGGGCCACGCAGGGCTCACGGAGAGGCAGGCTCCGTCTGCGATCACACAAACCATGGTAACCGTGATGTCTTTCTCTCCCTCCCCCACCCCCGTGGCAGGTGCCTGGAGATTTGAGTCAAACATCCGAAGACCAGAGTTTGTCAGACTTTGAAATGTAAGTCCACGGTGTCTACTTACGAGGGGCCCCTTGGAACTAGGACTCTGTCATTTGGCTCGTGTCCCAGAAGACCACGGGGGGGAAACAGAAATCGCGGCTTCCGTCTGCACACACTGATTTGGCTTTTGTCGAGGTGGGGGGTTTGTGTGCCTGCAGCCCCAGTCTGGCCTTCAGATGCGTTTTATTTCTCCTGTTGGGACTTGAAAAACAATTAATTTTTTTGGCTGACATTTTAGAGTTGGAAGATAGCACATAAAAATGCAAATTTTTCTATTTTCTTTGTAAAAAGACTCCAATCCCTGCAAGGCTACAATCAGCTAATGCCGAGCAACCCCCCCCCCACACACACACACACCAGGGCATGTGTGCTTCCATTTACCTCAGTCCCCACCTCTCCCTGTCGCCCAGGTCTGGTCTACATCACTCATTTCATGGTCCGTGTGGCGCCTGTAGGCACTTGAGTTTGCAAGCTTGGGGTTATGGGACACAATGGTGGGTCAGTGTTTCGGTCTGATTTTTGATGGGCTTTGATTCTCTCTGGTGCCTCTGCTCACTCTTTTTTTTTTAAAGATGTATTTATTTATGCATACAAAACTGGGGTACAGGCCAGAGGTGCAGGGGCCCTGAGAGGCTTCACCAGAGACAGAGCGGGGAGTAGAACAGGCAGATAGACAAAGTACACTGCTGAGGGGAGCGGCGGGGAGACAGAGAGGTCTGCTGCGCCCTGTGGGTCACTCCTGGGCCCCCGGGATTGAACTCATGTGAAGTGGCCTTAGCTTTTTAGTGCTGTGCTTTAACCCGCTGCGCCACCCTCTGCTCACTCTTAACAAATGGATTTCGTATCTAGACTATTTCGTATCTAGCTTGCCTTGATATTTGGCTAGATAATCCTCTTCTAGCAAAGGAACTGGGTTCGGGCCAGGCAGGACATGTCTCCTGCCTGGCTCAGCTATGCTGAGGGGAGGAAGGTTCTATCTCCCCAGGGGAAGGTGCCATCCAGGCGAGGTCTGTTCTGGAGGGGCGGGGGGGGGGGGCGGGGAGGACACTGGTTAGCAGCCTGTGCCAGCCTGGCAGGCTAAGCTGAAATCATACCCTGTGGGACCCAAGCCGTCTGACCTCACTCGGCCAGAGTTTTTATTTGTAAGGTGAGGCTCAGGGTGCCGACCGTGCCAGGTCACAGCGGTGACTAGACTGAGCTCATGGATGTGCAGAGGGCAGGCAGAGGCACTGGGTGCTTGGGTAAACTGTTAGCTCACGTTAACAAGCATCAGAGGGCACCTGACCAAATGATGTAGAACACTCACTCTCCTCAGGTGCTCCCTAGGATAGACTGTATGTTAGCCCCCTTCCCCCCACCCCGACTCGCCCCGACTCGCCCCGACTCGCCCCGACACAGGTGAGGACATCTCACACACAAGTCTCAGCAACTAAGAAAGAGGGGGGGGGTTTGGGGAGATGGTGTCTTCATCCTCAGGGAAATAGCCTCTCCTGTGGGAACCTGCAACGGTGGAGGCTGCATCTGCTTTCTCTGTTGCTCTGTCTCCGGTGCCTGGGACAGTGTCTAGCGTATAGCAGATTTGCAACAAGCACTCTTCTTGAGTGAACAACAAAACAAATGCACTTATCTCTAGGAGACAGGTGGCCAGGTGAACAGCCTATTCTAGTCAGTGCGGTTAGTGCTTTGTAGAGGAGACATCCTGGGTGGGGAGGACCACACAGCTGCCTGGGAGGATGTCCTCAATTCGCCCATCCAAGAAGGTTAGTGAAAATCAGGAAGTTAGTTACATTTCTGTCCCCCCACCCCCCCACTGACAGACATGAAAGGGGAACCCTCTAGGCATCGATTCAGTCTTGGGGACCTTTACAGGAGAAATGTCATTAAATATACAAACCAATTTGGCGCTTCAGAATTGCAGTTTCTGGGCCCTGGAGAAATGATCGGTATGGCTTATTTTGCCCCCTACAAGGAAGGTCAGCACCTTAGCTCAGAACTTAGAAAACGAATACTGCGTTAGGAGAGAACCATTTCTTTGCGAAAAGAAAGTGTCCTTTACTCTGGAGGTTGTGAGAATGTTGAGTCATAGAATCTTCCGCCACCGTATCACAGCGTGTTCCAAGCACAGAGGCTGGCGGGTTTCTCTGAGCTGCTCTCTGGGAAGGAGAGCGGGTGGAAGCATGCAGCCCGCGGGTACCTCTAAGTCGAAGCAAAGGCTGGACCCTGCCAGCCCTTCTGGTCGTGAGCTGTGCTGTTTTGATAGCTGTTCAAATCGATCTCGAAGTTTCAGCAGAGTTAGCTCATCAGCTCTGCATGACTTGAATCCAGCCGGTGCAAGAGTAATGGGTGGTGGGGTTCTGTTTCCAGTGACTCACAGTAAAACTTAAAGTCCTCACAGAAGGCAAAAGTGCCACCTGACCAAAATAACCCTTGAAAGTCATTTCACTAGCGTATGCGGGTTAACTGAGGTAATACAGGAGAAAGCCCGGGGCCACGCGTCCAAGGGGCTCAGCACCGTTTTGCGTTTGAATTTGGATCTTGCTTTACTAGCCCCATGCAGTGATTTTGGAGTTGAGCAAGGGCTGTGGGTGCCAGGCTTCCTGGCACCCCAACTTGGCATTTCTTGTTTTCCTTACCCACCTACCCCAGATAGCTGTCACTATAACTGTGGGTTCCTTTCCTGAGTTCTTTCGTGGCGTCTGATCTGAACCTGGGGTTCAGAGTCTTAGTGTGGGCACAGTGGGGAGGCAGTGTGATGCCTCAAGCTCCAGAAGCCCCGTGGGCCCTGGTGACCTGCACATGACTCCCCACAACCTTGGGGGGCGGCAGTTCTCGTCCCTCCTCAGGAGGGCTCAGCTGCAGATAAATTATGAGCCACAGTCCTCTGGTTACTGAGAATGGAAGGGAAGCGCTTTGTCATTCCAGAGTATAGATTATGTAATCAAATAAAAAATACATGTTTTTCGAACTATGTTCCACGAGGATAATCTTGGAGGGGGGGTGGCGGCTGGTGCTGAGATTTTAACCGGCCTTCTCTCTTACTCTGAAGTGTCGTAGACGTTGCTCTGAATGGCCCCTGACGCCCTCGAGGAGAAGATGCGCCTCTCTCGGTTTTTGACTAGTTGAATGACCCACTTTGCTCTCCTTTGGTCAGATCGAACCGAGCGCTCATCAACGTCTGGATCCCGTCGGTGTTTCTCCGGGGCAAAGCGGCGAATGCCTTCCACGTGTACCAGGTACGCCCGCCGACCCTGGGCCGCACCCCGGGGGCAGCGCGAGTCAGCTCTGCCACTACACTGGGGCGCTGTTGCTTGGTGGTGGGGTGGTGGGCTGAGGAGGCCGCAGCCCGGTGTCCCCAGGAGGTGGCTCTTCGGTCAGTGAAGCGCTTCCTCAGGTTGGCCGGGCCTCGGCGTGGCCAGGCAGATGCTCCGCTGAGGACTCTTGAGCAGAAAGGGCCTTGGTGTGTGATGCAGCTGGAAAGTCCAGGCGTTGAGTGGCCCTGGGTGGGACTGGTGCATGCTGGGAGATCTACCATGTCGCTCCCCTGCGGTGATGCTATGCGCGAGACGGCACCCCGCACTGCCAGTCTCTCAGCCTGTCTGGTGGCCCAGCCAGTGTCTCTCTGCTCTGTCTGGGATCCTGCACCCACCCCTGAGCCTCGATGGCGGTGAACGTCTGTGCAGGACTGTGGGGGAGCATGGCCATCGCAGGTTCTGGGTTTGGAGTTGACCTCCGCTGGCCACGTGCGGGGGGTGGGGTGGGGTGGGGGCCGACTCACCAGTGAGAACCAGGAGGCTGCTCCCTTCAAAAGGGGCCATGGGCCGTCGACACGCAGGTACGGCAGGTGTCTCCTCTGCTCCCTGGGGAGAGCTGGACCCCCTTGCTGGCGCTTTGCCAAACTTTGCCTGTTTAGAAGGTGGTTCAGCCCCCAAACTGGGTCGATTTCATCTGTTCCCTGGTTTTCTGGGGCCCCTCCCAGCCCAGCCTGCGTGCCCTCGTTTTCTCCCCTCGGGTCCCCATCTCTAGCCCTGGTTGGATGACAGCCCCGGGACTGGCGATGGCGCTCGGCTGCTGTCGGTCTCGTCATCTTCTCGCCACAACAACTTCCATTAGATTCCGTCTCTGCCCCCTGCAGGCTCCGTGAAAAGCCTGGGGGTTTTGAGTCATTTTTCTTAGTGGGGAGTCGACCACGTCTTCTCAGCTATTAGGTATTTTCTCCAGTGACGGGTGCTGAAGAAAGGACACTGAACTTGAAAATGGAAGCCCTGGTCTCCCTGCGACTTTAGGGAGAAGCCTGGTTTCCTTGCCCGTAAAGCAGCTACCTCCTGCCCACTCCCTGCGAGCCGCGTGGGCGCCGTGCTGCAGGCGGCCAGGCTCGGTGCCGCATTGTCCCGTGTGATGCCCACTCTGACTTCAGTGACGGGCTTGGCGGTGGGTGCTTGTGGACAGGTGAGCTGAGGCTGACAGGAAGCCTGAGTTCTGGACGAACTGTGTGTGCCCCGGGGAGCAGCGGCATTGTTAACAAGCGTGAGAGAATCTGAGTGTTCTCAGTTCTGCTTGTAAGAGAATTTCAGGGCCTCCCTGGTGGCCTAGGGGTTGAGTCTCAGTGCAATCACCACTGCGGTCTGAGTTCGATGCCCGGCCGGGAGGGACCCACAGGCTCAGCAGACCTCTGCTGTCTCCCCGCTGCTCCCTGCAGCAGTGGATTTCGTAGACATGCCTGCTATGCTTCCCACTCTGTGGCTGGCGAATCCTCTCACCCCCCTACACCTCTGGCCTACACCCCAGTTCTTCTATACAAAAATAAGTAAAAAAAAACCCCCCCACTGACAGACATGAAAGGGGAACCCT